ATGTTTTCTCAATGCCAGCTGATGAAGCACATGATGTGAACAGTTGCTTAAACCATTTCATTCATTTCCTTCGTTAAGTTTTTTTCCAATGCTACCAGGCATGTCAGTGGCTCAATTTTTAAAACAACATTTTCATTGAACAGGTAAGTTTTTAAAGGAAATCTCTGTGCCTAGAAGGTGATGACTTCACACATAATTTCAAACCCGCCAAAATATTAATATTATTTTATTCTTTAACACGATGTAGATAACAGATAAGTTCTGTACCTATCATCAATTTTTAATTATTATAAACCAAGATTTTTAAGTCTGAAAACATGGTTAAATTACACGTTTAATTATAAAAAAATAACTATTTTTTAAAAATAAATTACATATTTTATATAACAGACTAAAACTGTCAACGAAAACACAGAATGTCACCTTACCTAAACAAAACCAGTATCGATCTTATCGTTATAAAAATTGTGTAAAACCAATTGTTGTCTTCCTGTAGATACACATGAGAGCAGAAAATATAACAATACAAACCACAAAAATAATTTAATGTTTAACGATTACGAACTGAGTTTAGACTAAAAGCTTTTTGCTTTTCGCTATGGGTTTTTATAAAGCATTTTATCGATGATTAATTGCTTGGTGACATATTAATGCTATTAAAGAATTAACAGTATATGTATATTTGATAACTTGTATTAGTCTCTTATTTAAATGTCAACGCTTTGATAAATTTTGGTTTTCTTAAATGTTAATACCTACTATATTACGATAAAATAAAAAACCATACCGATATACCTACTTATTATTAAAATAATATTAATATACTAAGTTTCTATCATATGCATTTCATTTCATCATAATATAGTATTTCGATTAAATAAAATCAACACTTATCAAAGCCATGACATTTAAATATGAGAATAATAAATGTCATCTCAAATATAAATGATTAAATCTTTAATAGTACTTCCAAATGGAGCAATCAATTTTAGACGAAACAGTGTGAAACTAAGTTTTAACTATAAAAAAACTTACTAAATGTGTACAAATAACTAATATAGAATTGATTACATCGTTCGACCACGAACTAATGAAAATATGCATTTTTGACAAAATGGGGCTGATGTTTAGATTGACAATTGACTGAATATGGGCCGATTTGTTACATTGTAAATGCATATTATCTTTGCACAGCTTTACGTTTGCATACTATATTTCAAATTTGGTATCACTTCGCAGCCTCGTATCACAAGGTTTCTCATAAATAAGTAGTTCTTACTGTAACCAAAAATCTAAAAACTACATAAACACAGTTTTTTAATGAATATTTTTTGTTCAGATGATTAGGTACTCAGCTATGTGTGGACTTGAGATGATATTTATTTTGTTGTAGTATACGAAAACCGGCTTTTACATCCGTATTTATAAATTGAAGATCACAGGAGTAGCGGAGTAAGAGTTGAAACAAATTGAATTATTATTATTTATTATAACCTATGGTAAATAAAATTAATAATGTTACTTAAAATATAAAGATGACTGTTGTCTCTACTTCACGATTCGAACTAGACTGGTGTTCTGTTTACCTAAGCCAATTTGCCGTGTGCTACATAAATGACGCGTCAGTAATCTGTAAAACTATACAACTCACTATTTAATTACAATATACGTTCCGAAAATAATCTAATGATACCTTCTCCAAGCAAACTCTAATGAAGTAGGTTTTTCCAAGTGTGGACTAAAATTACTTCGTAAAACGCCAAATGATAAAGTTATTCTAAGAAACTGTAAATCACTATAATAAAATATTAAAGCAATAGTCATATTCACTGTTTTGATTTAATACCTTAACTAAATCATATCAAATTGGATTAAAATTGTATATAATTTTATATCATACTAGTTGGAAAAAATCTTTTAGAATTTATGCTTTATAATTTTATGGTAATCAAAAAAAAAAATTTATTCCATATTTATTTATCTTTATTTATATTTTATTTCACATTTACTTTTACTGCCTAACCAAAAATGTATCTAGAATTGTAACTCAATTGCACCTACTAACATTAATCATTACATCAATCTTATTTTTCTTACATTTCTTACAAGTTCAGATTAGCGTCTCATATATCACCAATAAGAGATTTCCTCAGCAGTGAACAAGGACAAAATGACTGTGAAAAAAGCACAATAATAATTATGACTTTACTGAAAAAATTAACTATTACTAGTTACTGTTAATTTTTTAGTTATAGGTATTATATATTTATATGTAAGTATATACTTCAAACAGTACTATTGTAATTTGTAATATATTATAGTTATTGAAAAAACTGTATTAAGTTTAAGTTCAGATATAAAATATTAGATTTTAAGTTATTTTATACTTACCAAAAAATGAAGGTCGTCGTATGTGTTGGAACTGGAACATTTAAACCAGGGACTAAAATTGTATATATGTAGTGTGACACACTTTGTGTAGTCCAAAATTCTTAGTGAGTTCAAATTAAAAAGTGTGTAATGCGTGTATAGACACTTAAGACTTGTAAACTGTTTTTTCCTCATTTCATTTTTTATTGATTGGTTTAATATATATATTAATACATTTTGACATTTTGTGAAAATATTAAATAGATGCTTATCATAATATTATCATCATTTTTGTACACTTACATTAATTACCGTCCCACTAAATTGTTCATAGCTTGTAAACTAAACATTATCCATACCTTATAAATAATAAATGAACCATAGATAATATTTTCAAGATTAATACTATTTAGTGTGAGGTAGCCTGTACTTTGTAGATTATGAAAAATAGAAATTTAATACTCCATGTTTATGTGTGGGTTAAATGAACTTTGTGGGCATGGGGGACCCCCTCCCCCTCCCCAACGGCAACGACAAGTTCAATATAATGTGTGCTGTAAGAAAAATGTATATTTTAGCTTCTGGCTTAAACTGTTTAATAGTTCAAAGTGAAATAAATATGTAGCTAATAGATTGTTGAAATAAGGACTAAAATAAAATCGAAAACAATTAATTAGTAGATATTCGCCGGGATGGCTGATGACTAGATGAAACATGTCACATTGTCGTGTGGAATAAAATGCAATCTTGCATTGTATTTTTCCATTGGTATTAAGTATCTAAGGTGAATGGTCACATGGTGGGTTTTCTATTCTCAATAGTTATTTGTATATCCAAATTCAAATCATCAAACGAAATAATATAACTAAAATCGTTGTCCCAAGTAAATAATATTTAATAATTGGGGGACAAATATGATATATTATATCATCTACTAGGTGACAAAAAGTTTTCTCTGAGCGACATTTTTGCAGCCCAGTTTATTAGTTAAAATATCTACTGTTTTGATTATAAATACTAGTATGTTCATGTCACCGCCATCACAAGAGTAATCATTTATTTGCCAAGATTATTATGATGTTCAACCTGTGAGGATATTAAATAGGTAGCTTATATTTTATGATACATTGCTAAGTACACAAAAAAATATATTAAAAATATGGGTATCAAAAAACCGAATTTTTGTTGTTTATGAATTTGTGAAAGTATATCGAAAGAGCTTTGTAAAATAATGGTTCTTGGTTTTTTTAAGGGTAGAATACTAGAATGTGATAAGTTTTGATTTTATAAAATCACAATATTCATTGTATATTTGTATCATAGCCTTAAAATTACTAATGTGCGTATAGCCAATAGTTTTTTTTTACTAAAACACCACTGATTATGGACAATATTGATCGATGCAATAAAGTACATATTTTGCCTATACAATACGCCGGACAACATATAATATACAGTAGTATTATGATTTTATGTTTTATACATTTTGTACTTTTAAATTAGTAATTTTATATTTTTAGATAACTTTTTATTAGTCCATATTTTTTGGTTCATTATGGGTATTTATAAATTAATGTGGACGGTAATTGTTATAAAAAATATGGTTTTTTATGTAATAACATATCGCATTAATTCATAATTGTATTGATTTTCTTCACTGACAGAATTTACATTTACTCAATTTTACCTGTTTTTTTCTGGCCGAGCTTTCATTAAAAAAATTAAGGTACTAGTGGTTTACATGTATCCATACACAGTGTTGGTCACCCTACAAACTTCTAGAAACAATTTACACATAACCCGCCGTTATCAAACACATAATTGAAAGACAATTAGGACACAACACTAGTTTCTTCCCTAGCTAGAAACCCTCTAGCCGCCCTTCTCGCCCTTTAATGACGGGTGGTATACGGTTTTGATTGAAATGATAATTGATGAAAAATGATGAACACATAAAATGCATATTTTTTTTTATTTATTCTTCAAGAAGATAATAGGCCCCACTGAACATGTTTGTGTGTGGGCCCATGTGTTCACAATTTTAAATATACATTTATTAAATAGTTCATATAAATTAAATAATTACAATATATAAAATACATTTCTCACATACCTAGAATATTAATAAAGAGAAATACATATTTTATTTTATTTGTTTATAGAATACTATAATTAAGTGATGTACAAAAAATTGTGTAGTTAAATAATACAGTATAATATGATAATATAAAACTAAATTTAACAAACATTTCTTAATGGTCTAGCTAATATAATAAGCAGTGCTCGGGATTTATAGCACTTAAAATCATTAAAATATGCGCTTAAAAATCATTATAAGCACTCAAATAAGCATTTAAAAAACTTAAATTTAAGCAAAAATATTTATTAAAAAAAAAAACTAAAAAATTCTAACTAAAAATCAAAAAATAAACAATTATATCTTCATCTATGTATTACAAAAAACATTAAACATCACATTTTATTTTTATTTATTTTCAGAGTGATTTTCTGAAAAATAAAATGTACCTAAACGATATAAACAAATAGTTGAAAAAAAAATGAATTAATTAAGTAAATATGCGACAATGTAGATAGGAATTGTTTTTAATTTTAATTCTATAAAAAACAATTTTGCAGGAGAAAACTGCAAATAAGCATTATTTTGAAAAATTGTTGACAAAAAAGCATTTTCAAATTTTAGAATAATATACACTTCCATAGCACTCCACTACATTTTAAGTCAATCCATAAAAATAAGAGAATGCTTTAAGTCCCGAGCCCTGATAATAAGTAACGCCTTAGTCCTATTTATTTGTTATGAATCTTTCTATATTTTGTTCTTGTAATAGTGTAATAGAAATAGAAATCATGAAGCATGATGAAGGTATAATAGTAATAATAATTCATAAAAACCTTGAAACCGGGCCTCGACGCTCACAGACGCCGAGGGTACACGAACAACACACATTACACAATAAATATATAGTTCAAGTAATGTTACATATTTATTTTATACAAAGACATCACCATCCTCTACCAACGTCGACCCTTCTGCAAACCAGCGGTGGTAGCTATCTATCGAGGCCCTACTCCATGTTTGGGGAAATAATGTACTTTATAAAAAATAGGACAATATCTGTGACCGGGCACTCTTGACCGTCCAGCGGAAAAAAAAATGTAGTCACGTGGTCACTGGGCAACAGCTATCGTTTTGACTTAGGGCTTCGTTGCAATAACGGCGGAGGTGGCGGATTGTAGGCGCATGACAGCATAAATTAGTAGGTATAAAATTGATTAGTTTAATCGTTAATATGAATATACTCGAGCATTACTCTTATGGAATATATGTTTATAAAACTAATTTGCATACTGAGAATAATTTGGTAAAATTATTAGTAAGTTTACTAAGTAAATTATTTCACTATTGGTAAATATGGAGTATTTTGTATAATATATATTTGCATTAATATTTCAAACGTTTTTAAAAAACAGGTATCAAACTCACCCAACTCACACTTGATATAAAAAAAACATAAACACAGTTTTATATCATCCAATGACAATCAAATGTTAGGAGTAATAATAATTATTCCCAAAATATACGACTAACTGTACTTTGAGTTTGTAAAATTCGCACTTGTTTGTAAATTTTCAGGGCATGTCCAAGTTTCAAACCCATGTTTGATACAATTTCTTCCCTTTTGAGTGATTGAAAAGCATGGCCATCGAGTTCCTAAAATAATAGAATACTTCTTAGTACAATGTTATCTATTTTAGATTTTGATAGGAGTAATGAGATGAATGTATTGATTTTACAATAATGTGTTTTTTTACCCTTGACAACATGGGCAAATGGGTTTGTGTGAGAGTTACAGTTGATTCGTACCTATCTAGGAGCCTACAACGTCAATTTGCGTCCAACAACCGCACTACAGCAAGACCACATTTTTTTAATACTCATTTTAAGTTCACATTTTGATAAAATTATAGATATTTTGACAGGGAGAAAACAAACTTGTTTAACAAACAGGAATATTAGTTATTTTGTTGAAATTCAAAAACATTATTTTTTGGGATTTAAACATTTTACTTAAGTAAATTAAGTAATAAGTACACAATGACATTTTCAATATATATTTTAGATTAATTGTAAGCTATTACCAATTTAAACCATGAACCTATTCACACTGTTCAACAGTAAAGGTGGTTAATGTAATATTGACTCAATAATTAATAACAATAATCCATTATTATAGATATGGTGTATACACTATTATAATAAATAATATAATAAATTAAATGTTTTGAGCAAAACTTAGTTCAACCTTACGTACTACTAAAAGTAAAATAAGTTACTTCAATAGCAATATCAAAAAATATATGATGAAATATAGTGGATAAAGAAATATTATAATTCATCTATTATAACCAGACCATCTCCAATCAGAATGGTATACTTTGTATAATTGTATACAATGATATACTGTTAAATTAAAATTTAACCTATCCATTAGTGATCCACAGTGATCCTACTGTACAGCAGATGGGTACACACATACCTATCTTATTTGTAATGATAAATTATTTATTGTATAAAGTAAAACTATATGACAAAATTATTTTTTGTAAATAAGCAGGTAATATCTTACATATTTGATTATTTGATCAATAATATTTTGGGGTAAAACCTCTTTTAAATAACCAAATACTTCATCTTTAGTCCACTTTGATATATTTGGAATTTCATTATTTAGAATTTCATCATATTGTTCATAGTCTGAACTATTAGATCCATTACTTTTTGAATCAGTGTCATCTTTGTCCGATGATAAAGACACAATACTCATGGAGCATGACTCAACATCATCTAAATACGTATTTAATTAAATTAATATAGTTGATAATTAGGTATGATATATTTGAGAGGTCCAGTCTTACCATCAGCATTATCATTTACTGCTCCTACAATGTCTTCTTCTTCTTCTGGGTTAATTCGAGTAGCCAAAGTCAAGCAAGGGAAACATACATACATATCATTTGATATTTTTTGTAATGGCTTAATTTCATATGATTCATAACAAATGATATGTAAACCAACTTCACAAGTTATGCAACGACGTTGTATTTTCTAATGAAATTTAATAATTAAGATTTTATAGTTATGAACAGATATAATTATTTGTACTGAGCTCACCGACTGGGATTCATCTTTGAGACATTTGTTACAATTTTCTTTTCTGCATTGTTTACAGAACCAAGGACAGATATCTAATTTGAATTTCCACATGGGCTCAACGACTATTAAACAGTGTCTATGAGCTATACAAAATGAATTAACAATCGTAAAAAAAAACAAGAAAATTTAATTTATCTATAACGATTATTACTACCTTTGATCAAACAAATTGGACAATCAATCAATTCTGTATTTCCTGAAATTTTTGAACAAATAAAACAATTTTTTGAAGTTTTCTGAGTTACACTCTTTCCTGTAGAATGTATTGGAGATATGGTTTTGATTTCAGTAGACAGAGAATCCAATGATTCAGTTACCGAATTTACAGACCTTGTGGTATCTTGTTTTTTTGTACTTCCATTTGTAGTTTTTTTTACAGTAGTAGCTGCTATGGGTTTTTTCTTTTTAAAAGAATATTTATTTTTCTTCTTTGGTATATGAATATCAGATGGATCAAATACTACTTTTGCTTTCTATAATTTAAAAAAATCAAGTAAAAGTAATATACATAATTTCATAGGTAAATCAATACTAACCATATTTCTATGAGGTCTATCGGATACAGGTCCAACAAGGTCAATTATTTTCTTCTTCGGCATTGCTATTGATGAAAATATATCTTAAACAAATTTACAAAATGATTAAAATAAATATAGTTTATAGGACAGATGTAAAATAAGTATGTAACCAGTTATATACTAAAACTTTAAGAGCTAATAAGCATGAAAATATTTTTAATATTTAAAATCTAATTGTATTCTATTGGTTTATTTATAAACTCATTATAATATACAATGGTCGTAAGAGGATGTTACCCCGAAATTTGTTGTCTGTCTCACAAGTATAACGTGGCAAATTTTACACTCGATAGATCAAGTTTACCTTAATTATTTTAAAAATTGGAGTGAATTGAACTCTTATAAAATGTAAAGGTAAGTTTATTATCTCAGTAATAACATAAGCTTTTTATTATAATTTAATTTTAAAATGAGTTATGCTTATTTTAAAATTGTAAATTGTTTGTACATCTTACAATACTCATAACTTGCTTTAAAATTAAAATTTAATAAAAAACTTATATTATAATTATTGAATAATCTAGAATTTAAATTTTATCAGAGGTTAATTAACTCTAATTTATAAATTTACAGAGCTAAACGTGGTCTGCTGACTTTGGTATGTTATGCGCATGTTAGACAATAAAACAAATATCGGAGTAACTCCCTCTTAATGTGTTTACATAAATATTACATATTATTTTTTTACAAAACATACAATGATATTGCAGCTTAAAAATGGTAATTAGACAAAATACATTTAATAATAAGATATATGGTCAATTTTAATACTTAAAATTATGTTATAGTTTTTTTGAGAACAGTGATTGATTTTTTTTAAATCCAATAATTATTTGATTAAAAAACTAAAGAACTTGGTAAATCAATTAAGTTATACCAATCACATTAACAAAATATTTTCTTATGATAGGTAACCAACGTCAGTTTGTAATAACTATTTAGTACTTTACAACTTACTAAAGTTGTTTCATAAAGAGAAATTCCTAAAATCCTATTGATAGAGCATTTAATAATTTTCTGTAAGTAACTAACTCTTTTACTGCTCCAGACGTACTATTACATTCTTTTATTTTATGATATTATCATTACCCTACAATCTTAAGAAATCCTGGGTTACATCATTTTAAACTTAACTGGAAGATATAGATCTCAATATTTAAATTTAAAATTTAAAAAAATGCTTTTTGTATAGCCGACAGGTACAGAGAATAAATAGTGTAGCAGTGAAAAGGCTAATAAGAATTATTGTATGATTATTTATTACTAATAAATTATTAGGTACCTGTAGCCATATGCCTAGGTACCTATATAAACTAGTAATAATTTGTTAACACATCAAACAGCAAAAAAACTAGTTATACAATCATGTTGAAAATGCAAATTACTTACGTCTTACTTCCTGTATACGTTAAAGAACCAATGAATTTGTCTGGTCTTAAAAAAAAGAAGTAATGGCTTTGATACTTGAGAAATGTTTCTTTATTAATAAATAGGTATTGATAAATTATATTTTATTGCATTTAATGGTATATTGCAGTCGGCAATTACATTATTTAATTATTCACAACAATCGATATTAGTAAAAACTCAAAATAACACCAATGTAGATCTAGGTAAATAAAATAATAGACACGTATATAAATAGATGATAGGTATAGGCGTATAATAATAACAAAAGCCAATGACTTATTGGTGCGTTCCAACTATTATTACAATCAATTAAAAAATAATAAGATATTAACTCAAAAGCACTTGGTACCTATCAGACATTATCACTGAAAGAATCTTATAGTCCATCTGACTGCAACTCTAGTGCACACTGGCGTACACGGGTGGCATGATAATGATAAGTATCACCGGCGTAATAGATAATACAAATTCCATATTACGATGTTGCGGGGTAATTTGTATCTACATAAGTGCAGAAAAATCATGGACCTTGTTACACAACAACTAGACGAGAAATTAGTTTATGGAAATCGTAACAACATGGAGAGCACTTTTTGATTAGGTACTCGATCACTGTGCTCACGGTTACTAGTGAGAGATAGTAGGGTAAAATTAGACATAATATAGAGTACCTACCTTTTGTATTTTGTCGTCATGACAGGCTACATATCCTATGGTAATGATGTTCGTGTACATAGTACGTCAGTACATGTCTAGTAGTTTAAGATCTATGCACAGAACACAATAGAAGCAACAGTCAAACAGCTGATCAATTTGGTCACATTTTTCCGGAGACTCGGCACGGAGTTGGCAGGGGAGGCTCAGCATAATGTTGAAACCATAGACCTTATACTAATAGACAATAAGTGTTGCAAACCGAGCATATATTGGGAGCTTTTTCGGTGACCGAGTGACTCAATGTATAGTAGTGCGGGGCAGCGGCGCCAAACTCACGTATCGAGGGGGTGACTGTCACCTCCCCTTGTTGGAGGTGGGTTTTGATAAGTAAATCCCAGTGTTGAGATTTGGGAATAATATTGTTCACCAATATCTTTATAAATTAGATGCACGCTGCTATTGTAAATAACAACACCAAAGCTATGGGTATTCAAATCTCCATCATTTTATAAAAATTTTACGTAATAGGTAGTGTGTAAATAAATTAAATATGTTATGCATCGTACATTCCCAATTACCGGGCACTTGTGTCCTTCCATAGACTATTAGCGTATTAGGTCACAACCTCAACTCACTATTCATCATTGTCACATGCGTGTGTTAAACAAAATTCGGCAAAATGTTTAGGAGAAAATTAAAAAAATGTTGTTGCTCATAATATCAAATAAATACTATATGTATACGTTGTAATTGCATACCAAATATTTCTGGTATAGACGTTAATTCATAAGAACCTTGAAACCGGGCCTCGACGCTCACAGACGCCGAGGGTACATGAACAACACACATTACATAATAAATATATAGTTCAAGTAATGGCGTCATTTCAGTTTCCAATTGAGGGGGGATAAAAGTTTTTACCAACCCAAATGCTAAACTAAAAAAGAAAACAGCATTAATTTTGATGATATATAAATTCAACCAGCGGAGCTACAACGCAACTATAACATACAATTATTATCATGATATTTATTAGATACCTATATAATTCAGTAAACTGTTTTTATTATAACTGTTAAATCAGTTTTAACAAAATAAAGGTTTATTTTGGTACAATATAACTTACGGATTAGGGATACTTAAACAAATAATTACCTATCAACATTTTAATTTTTAATCTGCACTAAAATGAATTATTATTCTTTTTTTCTACCTTTAAGGCAGTCGTCGTCGTAACGTCGTCGGCCTGCGCTTGAGAATGCACGAATCAGGTTGAGCACAAAATTCGTCAAGCCGATTATCATGATTCATGACATTTGAACTCGATTCCAAACTAAATTTTTAAGTACCTGAAATGATAAACCTAAAGTTGCGTCTGCGTATATATTATCTTATGCTGTACCGGGAATAATGATGCAAACACTAAGTACCTATAATAACTACGACTGAACAAGGCTCAACATAATTATAAACTAATAATATTGAGTTAGGTGGATTTGCCTAAATAAATCGTCTGAAACGTTAACGTAATATTCGTCTTCAGTTCGATGGGAATGGATCGTAAATTACTCCACTATTATTCACCACAACTTACCTCCATAGATTCAATAAATACACTGTAGTCATCAGTACATATTTTATAAGTTATTTCAAACTCGCCACAGTTAGCATTTAGTCTTAGCACACATGGAATATTGTACGACGCTTCTACGCCAGAAATATGTGAAATGCAAATATTTAATATTACTTATATAACTTCAAAGAAAAATTTAAAATAATACATAATTAAATCACAGTAATTTTATAGGAGGTACACTTAATATTTCATATTGATTATGCATGTGTAACAAATAACTTAAGTACCAAACTAAAATTTTAGAGTAGAGTTTTCTTCACTTTATATGTATTATTTCTACACAACTATAAGAGTTTCATTGTTTCTATTATCCACTAGTAATATCATTTATTTATAGTACACACATTGTTAAAATCTTTTTTAAATGTATTTTTCGTATGAGGTTATTTCTGTAATTTTATGAAGAATTGATAAATTCTAATTGATTATTTTTATTAAGTGGATTTAATTTTAAGTTCAGTACCTACAAATTTTACACCAATTATTATGTTCAATCGTAAGTTATAACATAGAACCAATTTACACTTTATAGTGCTTATAAATAGTTGAATACAAAGAGTTAGGTATATGATTCATAACAATGTATTGATATTTTCTTAAATACACAAGGTATTATTTAATATTATTTGTTTAAAATTTGAAATCTTTATATTTTTTGCTTGTTTTTGCTTCTTGACCAGCTTTCCGTTTTTTTCCCTCACCCTGTTGTCTATCCTTCATGTTTTGCTCATATTTAGCTACTATAGCTTTTACATCTCCAGCTAAATCTAATTCAGATGGATCTAAACTGACTTCAACTTCGCCAGGTTTATTTACCACATCTGTTTGTATGTCATACACGTGTGTAGATGCCACCATAGAGTCAAAAACAATGTCCACCTTCTTCTCTGGTAAAATACGATAGAGTGATTGTTGCTCACTACTTTCCATTTCAAATTCAATCTTTCGTTTTCTTAATTCAATATGTTCGGGTATTTCGTAACTACTTGATAATTCAGACATTGTTTCTGATGATGTAGCTAGATCTTTAGCAATTGGTGTGGCACTACCGCTAGCATCAGTAGCTACTTCTTCGATTTCCTTTACTCCTTCTTCCTTTTCATCTTCTTCTTCTTCTTCTTCTTCTTCTTCTTCTTCTTCTTCTTCTTCTTCACTTTCTTCTGGATCTGGTTCTCCCCACATTTTTGTATCAATTGGCTCTTTATCTATATGTGCGGTATCATTGTAAGTTGGTGTACCAAACACATCTCCATAAATAGGTCGACCAAATTCATTTACAGGAGGTTTACCCCAACCACCAGCATGATAACCAAAAGAACATCCTTCAGGAATGGCAACATTAACACCAGGGATTTTTAGATCTGGATAAGACGGTGGTGGACCATAACGTTGCATACCAATAAGCCACGGTGGAGGAATTTTGTGAGCATTATGACCAACTGGCATACTTAATGCAGTGCGCAATTCATCACTTAAAGCGCCAGGTTTCAAATCTTTAAGTTTAGTTTCACATTCTTTGCCTTCATAATACAAGTCACCATGAATTGTTAATCTTGGTTTAGTTTGAAATTTAAAAAATGCCTCATGTAATTTTTGGTAATCCATATCTATCTTTCCCATTGTGGGCCTAACCCTTTCTCTCATTTTATTTTTTAATGATGTTTCGTCTTCTTTTTCTTGGTGGACAGCTCTCATTTCCATAATACCAGTACGCTTAATAAAATCAGGCAAATCAAATGGTGGCTTTTCAAAACCTCGTTTACCTTGTAAATATTTACCCTTCAAACACCAATGGTGAGGTACAGGTACTGTATTACGATATGCTTTTAACTGTATTAAGAGATGAGGATCTCTGGCAGCCACATCATGCATTTCTACAACATCTGGCCGAGAAACAAGTTGCTTTAGTTCAGCTACACTTAAACGATTAACCTTTTTAAATTGTTTTCTTGATATCTTATCAGGACCATTCAACTGATTTTCTCTGTCATCTTCATCATCTTTAAATTCAGGGAGCTTAGGTACTTTCTTTAAATTGGGCGAAGTAGCTTTTTCAATGCCATATTTATCTGCTGGTTTTTTTTGTGGTTCAGGAATCTTGAAGTTCTCAAATACTTTAACATATTGCCTATACATAGGTACCAGGTTGAGCACGCTTAAAGGTTCTTCTATATATTCAACTTCAACAGCTAATTTTTCATCCTTGTTTTCTTTGTTTAAAGATATTTCTTTTAATTTTTGCTCATTTTTCAATTGCTTCGCCATTTTCTTCTTATACTTTTTCTTCCTTCTTTTAGCTATTTGACGATAATTATTAGACATTTTAACTACTTGTTCTTTTTCATCCCCATCTTTGTCCTCCTCAAAATCTTCAATTGTAGGCTGTATAACTTCTTGTGAATATTCTGTTGCTTGAATATAGTCCCATGCCTTTTCAAGCTCTGGGGGAACAGCAACACCCTTACCAAGTGGAATTAGCAAATCTTCTTCAAAAACTCCTGGTTCATACATAGTTTAACGACACAAGAAAATTTAAAAGATATTTTAATTATAACATAAGTTGACAGTTTTAAATATTTGTTGAAAGTTCTCGAGTACTGTTGCATGAATTGAGTTACAGGTATTCTATGTTTCTTAAATACGGAACACGATCACTATTTCTACCAGGAATCACCACTTTTGCACCTAGAAATATATAAATTTAATTGTTATACATAGATTACATGAATATCTACTTGTTAAATGCAAAATAATTATAAAAGTAATTTTCATTACCAATGAAAAAGCTCTCGGAAACTGAAATTTGGCAATAACTTGTATATTCAACATTACAACACCTAAAAAATAAAATAACATACATATCATTTTTTTTTTTTTTACTAAAATAGAAAATTAACAATCTTTAACATAGTATATACTATAGGCAAATAGGATACATGATTGTGAATATTTACATGAAACTGTATTTATGAGGAGAATGGCTGTCCAGTGACAGAACCCTCCATGTAGGTTATATGATATAACACATGCAA